GTACAGAGGTAATGCGCTCCCCTCTGCGTGGCTGCCCATTTCAGCCTCCTCTGCAACTCAGTCCCTTGCACATAGCTAAGCAAATTACCGCTTGGGGCTGGAGCCTCCTGTTATGTGGCTCGGGAGCCTCATTTGCAATCACCATTAACCGGAAAAGCTGCATGCCTGCTCTGTGCCCAATAGAGTCCAGTGTCGTACAATATCCGCGAAAGCCAAGGGGTAGAAGAGGCTGCAGAAGCTTCAGAATGAAGCTCGCAGAGTGCAGATCACTCTCTGGGGCCCTCTCTTCTCCTGACCCCTCTCTCAGCCCTTCTCCGGTGCTGTGAGCAGGGAAGAGGCTCCAGGCTGGGCAAAGAAAGGTGATGGTGACAGGTTCAGAGGACTGAGAGTAGGACCCTCAGATGTAGCTGTGTGCGTAAGAACTGGGAAACCCACACACCCACTGGTGAACCGTCCTGTCGGAAGCCCGTGAGCATTTTAAAGTAGGTATGCATGCTGAACACTCCAAAGGCTGCTCCTGAATCTCTAAAAAGTGCTCAGGTCTTCTGCTTTCCTCCTGCCACTTGCTGTGCTGCATCAAGCAGAATTAGCAAAGCCCCAGGGTGGCTCAGGATTTCCAAAGATTCCCCCACAAATGGTAGAGGTGATGTCTGGCTTTACTGTGCACCTCACATCTCTTCCTTTCTCTCCTTTGAGATATCCTGAACTTTCCCTGCCTCCTCGCTCCCCGCTTCCCGCCTCACTCAACACACATTCATCTACACAGACACTCTGAGGGGGAAAGGCACATGGATGCTACAAGGAATGGCACGGAAATGCCACTGTTTCAGATTTTGTATCTGCCAGATGCTTAAATTAAATCACATTGTTCTATATGCCCCTCCTGTTCTGTGCACTCAATAGCGTGTGTGCGTGAGTTCCTGCGTACGTGTGTGTGTATGTGTTTCTGTTGATACTCCCAAGGTTAATGGATTACAACTGACAAAAGCTGCAGGGACCTGGCTGGCTGGAGGGAGGAATAGTCTTCCCTCCCCAGGGAGGTGGAGAGGCTTATGCTCTCAGGTCTGGATGCAGAGACGGGCACTGTGGTTTGCAGGGTGGCGCTGACACTGAGAGGAAGTATCAGACAGAACCATTCAGAAGTTTGCCAGAAAGCATTTTGCTAGTCCTTTTTCAGAAACTTGTTTATCAGAATCTGTGGTTAAAAGGAGGAAGTCTTATAGCCGCCTCCTTTTAGCCGCTGTCCACTTGTAAAGTGCTGAAGACACCTCAGCGGGCTCAGGCAGACACTGCAGACCCTTTACTGGAGCAGCCTTACTTTGGTGACTGGCCACCCTATTCCGCAAAGGGCACCTCTGCAGACGAGATACAGACAGGGCTTCCCCGGGGGAGCCGGTGCCTATGGGAGAGGAGCCAGGAGATAAGGGCTTCTTGATTTGGAAACAGGCAAAGGATGAGAGGGAGGAAAGAGTGCTGAACCGGGACCAGGCACCAGAAGCTGAAGCTGGCTCCCACATTGCAATAACCTCTGCGAATGAAGAATAAGAGGCAGCCTGCCAGGAGAGCTGGCTCTTTGGGGGATACTTTTCATGGGGAGGGAAATAAAAATGGGGCCTCATTTGGAGCCCTGGTCTGTGCAAGGAGCTATCTGTACAGGCAGAAACCATCAGATATGGGGAAACAGTTTTATTTGCTCCACCATCTGGAGCACCACGGACTTTGAGACAGAGTCTAACTGTGTAGTTCAGGTTGCCTTGAACTCACTGTGGAGCCAAGGCTGACCTCAGACTCACGGTGATCCTCCTGCCTCAGTCTTCAGAGTGCCAGGAGTACAGGCATGTGCCACCATGCCCTACCCAACACCACCTTATTTAAATCTGAGGTCTCTCAAGGCCTAAGCCAGCTACTGCAAAGGACCCTTTTAATTAGGGTGGGCTTAGTGTGTAACGTATCTAAGCAGGACAGCTGCAGGACATGGGAAGGTTCTGCCTTCTGGGCAGAGGGAAAGGCATCAGGCTTGAAGGAATTTCAGGTTACTGACTAAATCACCATAAGAAGACTGGGAATGAAGGCGACCTATAGACACATGGTAAATATACTACTTCTCTTGTCAGTAAGTGAGTTTTGATTGTAACTCAGTGTATGCTTTAGGTTCTTAAAATATGCTGTCAGAATTCTCAGGAAAGCCCAGGATAGAATGTAAAAGATAAAGTATAAAAATGCTTCCACAAAGAAAAACATGGGCTTCTCAGCCTTCTTTGTACCTTCATGAAACCCAGAAAATTGAGAGCAAGGTTGCAGTCTGTCCTTGGTCAACATTTCATGTACCAGCCTGTCATACAGAGTTCAGGGAAGCACCACAGATCAATAGCTATTCTAGGTTAACATAGCCACAGCTCTCTGTGCTTGTTCTTAAAAGAAAAGAAAGACTTAAAAAATAAACCATACCTTAATGCATCAAAGGCATATTTCTGTGGTTTACTTATGGAAATTAGGTTAAGAAAGAGAACTCTTTTTGCACTTCTATGTATTTTTTTTTTTTAATCTAAGCAATGGGCGGTAATTCTCCTAAGTGGTTGTTCCTTTAGAAACCCTGAAAAAGGCTGTTAGCCCTCAAGTGTGACAAGAGGGTAAACTTACCCACTGAGCTCCCGGACCCTGGAACACTGCACAATACTTGTGGACAGCCCCACAGAGCCAGCCCAGCTGCCTGGGAGCACCCTCCGCACCTTGTGTGCTGTGCCCCAAGACTTGCTAACATTAGTAGCACTTGATGCACTTTGTTTACCTGCAGTGATGCTCCTGTAAACAAAATCCTGAAGTGCTTTTTTATGGGAAATGAAAAGCCACATGAGTGTATGTGAAACAATGAGCCATGGAAAATAGCCTCTTAAAGCATGTGTCACCTATTTTTATGTCCTTGCTTATATGATTTCTAATTTGCTTAAAGCCTTTAAGTGACAACTTTTGAAATTCCTACAAATTATATGCCAAAAACACACATTTTTTAAAAAGAGGAGAATGTTACAAAGTATATTCACCCTAGCACCTCTTGGCACCCTTACAAGTCTGTGCAGGAGGTAGGACAGGGGAAGGGTAGCTCAGAGAGGTTGAGTTACTCAGAGCCACACAGCCAATTTGAGGCATCCAGCCCTGATTCAGGACTCTTGGGTTGGGGCAGTGTGACTAATATCAAGCAGATATTGCTGAAAAATATACACAGATCATTTCCCTGAGTCCTATACCTAGACCTTAGCACCCATTCCTTCCCCATCATCAGCTGCAGTCAATGAACTATATAAATTCAAACTTCAGAAATGCTAAGTCTCACACATACTGTGAAAGGCATTAAAATGCAAAGCAGGAGTAAACAAAATTTCTTGCCACAGGGAACTAACAAATGTAAAGTGACAAAATAATGAGAGTTCAAATGCAGTTTCAAAAGTAGCCATAAAATGGAATTCAGAATTATATTTTAATATGCATACTGTACATTGCTTTGCTAAGGATGACTGGTAGAGAATTCTCATTTATGAACTAAGCCATAAAGGAAAGAAGAAATAGTGGGATGAGAACAGAAAGAGAGAGAGAGAGACAGGAAGAGACACAGAGACAGAGATTCAGAGTGAGAGAGGGCGAATCAGTGTGAACGGCTGAGTAAGATGGAATTACACAGCTTAGGGACCACAGAAAGCCCATCCCTGGGTAAAGCAATGCATAGCAACACAGCGCTGTCTGAGGACTCCACTTCCGACTGGCCTTGGCACGTGGCCTCAGGAGCTCCAGGCGGTTCCTCGAGACTTCGAGGAATTGGGGGTGGGGATGGGGCAGCACTGACTTGCCCAGCAGAGGACAGTTTGTAAAGTAACAAGCAACGCGCAATACTGGCCAACCTCAGTGGTCGGAATCACAGATCTGTCTTCACAGAGACATCTGGCAGTCCTGCTGCAGACACATTCCTCCCTTCTGTTCCCCCACCCTCCAGTACAGTGAGGAGGCAGGAAAGCAACTCCTTACACCATCTCTATTTATTTTAAAACACAGCCAGCCAGTGGCTCAGAGTTTTGTGTGTGGGGACTTCAGCTGGGTGCTCCCACCACCCCTTAACCCCTGTCTTCCCCACCACCCCTCAGAGGTGGCTCATTCATTTCCACGCTCAGTCTTGGCCGTGACACTCAGACTTTGTTTCTTGGATGTTCTCTTAAGGAACATTCACTTGAAGGCACCAGCGCAGAGGTGGCAGCCAAGCAGCGAGGCAGCCACAGGCACCTCAGTGCACAGCCACCTGCAGGGCTCCCAGCAACACTGGCTCCAAGCTGCTTTCAGTATTATAGGATTGAAACACAGCTGTCCTCCTCCTCTTGTGCTCTGTGTAAAGTGCACATGTAGCTGTCAGGAAGGAATAAGCTAAACTCCTCTCTACACCACATACCACACACACACACACACACACACACACACACACGCACACACGCACGCACAGAGCGCCAAGGGTGAACTCTCTGCAGAAAGTGCCCCCTTGACTCACCAACTCCCAGTTCTCCATCTCAATTTCCTTGGCCCTGTAGCTACTTCTGCATTAGCCAGAGGGACTTCCAGAATCCTTGTACATAGCTACATTTCCCAACACATGGGTAACTTTTAAAATTCTATCTTCTGAGCATTTACCCACAGATATTTGGGAGAGAGTTTGGACCCCCCCTACACACTTCTGTCCCCCACACCACACAGGCTGACAGCACCGGTAAGAGCCTGGACTGTCACTCCAATGTGTCCTACCAGTCAGGGAAACACTGTCACCAATAGCACCAAACCACCCGGAGAGGGAATGAGCCAAGGCAAGCATCCCCAGCTGCTACTCCATCTAGCACCAGCAAAGCAGTGTTTTCAAGAGGTCGGCTTGCACACTGGAGGGAGACTGACATCTCTGGAGCAAGAACTAGCACCTGAGCGGAATGAATATAAATGACGAATATAAATGATGAAAGACGGCGACTCACCTTTAGGTTGTGTGTGGGGTTGACGACACAGACAAGTTGCCCGGCGGCGGAGAAGACCCTTTTAGCCTTGTAGTGCTGAAACCGGAGGTGAATGAGATCCAACACAGCCCCAAAGCACTGAGTAAAGAAAAGCATCACAACTTTTGGGGGATTGTTGGCACAGGAAGGCAGAGAAGGAAGCTGTTAAGTCCTTGGGCTTGGGAAGGAGTGCAGCCTCCGAGACACTCCGCTCCAGCCCGGCTTAGCGTGCCTTCATATTCATCATCAAAATAAGACGGTTAGAATCTTGCAGCAGTGAGGCAGCCAATCAAAAGGACAGAAATGTTATCCTTGAGGTGCAGAGACAGCCAATAACAAATGCCTGCCTGACTGAAACTCCCTGATGAATTGAGCCTGACGGAGAATGTATTATTGAACATTACCATAGATCAGCACATTGCATTTATCTTGTGATTACAGCCAACCATACATAATGCTGGGGAGATAGGCTGACAAAATTGATTGCTTAATGTGTCTCCATTTATTAATTGACTTAATTTAACATGAGAGCCTTTCTTAATGCCCTGGCGGGGGAAAAAAAATAAAATAAAGCATTTAAACCGCCAAATAGTCAAACACCTCTCTCCAAACTAGGCAGATGGATAACGCAGCTCGTGGCTCGGCTCACCAGATCTGCTTGGGAGAAAATCAAATATTACAAGACTCTGATTCCAGATAAGGATTTGGCAGCAGCAGAAATGTGTATCTTTCGATCTTGTGTTCTGACACTCTGTAATTTGGATTTACAGCTCCTTGATAAAACTCTCTCCACTTTATATATATTTTTAAAAACCCTCAAAACAAAAACAGCAACAAAAATACCTGACCAATGCATTTGGAGTTGGGGGAAGGGAATGCATATATGTATGTTTTTTCAGAATGTAATTACTGAAGTCTTCTTTATTAGTGATAAAAATGCACAGAGAATGCTTCGAAAAATAATAAAATCCCTGATGCATGAATGCACACATAGAGAAAAATCTACATGGAGAAGAAAGTGTCTTGTAAATCAGCAAAATAATTACAGAGTCAGAGAACCTTTGCTTGTCATTCATTTGCATATTGGTGGGCAGCAAATTGCTAATTAACCACAAGATTGTTGGAGACATTAGAATAGAGATGAAGAACGCACAGCGACACTGTGAAGTACTGGAGCAGGCAAAGGGACAGTCCAGTCCTCACACTGCAACCCAGCACTCACTCCCCACTCCTCCCAACGCAGCTGGTGGAGCCCTGTTATGGTTTGGGTCTAGATGTCCCCCCAAAGCCTCATGTAGTCGTAGGTTTGATCCAGAGTGTGTGAGGCTGGAATTGATTCATGGTGCACTGCTCAGTTTAAAGGCACTAGGATTAAGGGTGTGAGTGCTACCCACCCTAAGTAGTCTGGATAAAATAAAAGGGGCAGGGAGGTGTGGTTAAACTCCCTTGTCACCTTTACTGCCTTGTGTGTGCCATGTTGTTTTCACTCTGCCAGGCCTGTTTGTTGTCCCTGCCTTGGAGTTGGCTGATTATGGACTGAAACCTCTACGAACTGTGAGCCAAATAAAACCCTTCCTAACTTTGGGTGTTGGGTATTTTGTCTCAGCAATGAGAAAAAAGAAACTAACATAAGCCCGAAGGTGCCCCATGGGCTCTTGAAAAAAGCCTCCTAGGCAGGGAGTAGAGACCTTTAGGGTTTCTGAGAATAAGCCCTGACATTTTGTTTAATCTTTGCCACTACAGCCAGGAGAGTTAGGTACTTTGTGATTCTCCTCTTCTGAGAAGCCTGCTGTCTGGGACAAGATCAACCTCAGGAGTGAATTGCAGCCTCAGAGTGAGCCCATCCCTCCTTCCCCAAAGCCTCCCCCTCTGCACTGCCTACAATGCTTAGGCAGTGATGTATGGCAAGCCGATGGACGGCAAGCGGATGGACATCTGAGACAGCTAAGTTTGTGCCCTGGTCCAGCACCAAAACTAAGAACAGATTAAAATAGGAGAGGGGAGAAAGAGGTACAGGCTTAATGAGACCAGCCAGAGCCCAGGTTATTTCCACTTAAATTTAAAACCAGACCCATTTTAAAGGACAAGCAGAACATCAAGTAAGATTTTAAATTTGTACTTTGAAAAATAATTGCATTGGCAAAAAACTAGATGATAATATTTAAACTGATCAAACACTTACCAGTGTTTCTCCTGTCTAGGAGATAGGAGTTCCTGGAAATATTCATTATGTGGTTTGTAAATAAGGAGTACTCGTCTGCGATATTATAATCTGTCAAAAGTTTACATTGTCTGGAATAAGCTTTCTACAGTTCAGCAAAAAAAAAAAATGTTCTGTGTTTTTAGTCTCTTACTTTTTAAAAAATGAAAGTGAGCATATACACCTATGCATTCTTTAAAGACTTCCTTGGTTAGATTAGAACTATTATGTTGGGTTTTTGTGTAGTTATGTTTACACTTAATTTTTGGAGGGGTTCATTTGTCTTTTTTTCACCCTACTACACATAAATATCATGAGAATATATGCTGTTGTTTTTGAAAGATTTATTTTTAATAAAATAATTATAAGCAAATAGAGGATGCCGTCAAATAAGACATTGGCCTATTACTTTGTTCTGGTAATCTTATGCTTGTGCTCAAAGATAGAGAAATCAATGTTACTTTTGTTTTTAAAATTTTGTTAAAGACTATTTTGTCTTGTTTGTAGCACCAGGGATCAAACTCGAGACTTTGCTCTTGCAAAGCAGGCACAGTGCTTTGAACTAAATCCCAGGCCCTGTTGAAGACTATTTTTAACAGTAGTTTTAGATTGATAGCAGAACCGAGAGGAAGGTAGAGAGAGTTCGCGGGGACCTCCTTCTCCCACCTTCACGCATAGGTACATTATCAACATCTGCCTCCCCAGCTCTACACCACATTTGTCACAGTCGGTAAGGCTCCACTGACACATCATTGCAATCTGTGTTCCCATCGGGGTTCATAGCACATTGTATACACTGTGGATTTGCACAAATGCACAAGGACATATACCCACTATTGTAGAATCATGCAGGAGAGTTTCACTGCCCTACAATTCCTGTGGGCCCCTTTGTTCATCTCTCTTCGCCCCTAACTGCAGGCAACCTCTGACCTTACTGTCTCCACATTCGAACTTTCCCAGAAAGTCACTTAGTCAGAACTATACTATACTATATAGTATGTAACCTTTTCAAGTTGGCTATTACTCACTTAATAATATGCATTAAGGTCTTTTCACGGGTTGATAGCTCATTTCTATTTTAGTGCTGAATAATATTCTTTTTTTCTGAATATACCACATTTTATCCCCTCACCGATTACAGGACATCTGGGTTCCTTCCAAGTTTTGACAGTTATGAATAAAGCTGCTATAATCATCCATTCATAGGTTTTTATGTGGAAATAAACTTTTCATCTCCTTTGGGTGAACACAAAGGCATGTTATTGTTACATTATATGCCAAGGAGTAAGATGTCTGGTTTATACAGTAAAAGAATATTTACCACAAAATAGTGTGGTGGTAAATGTACTAAAAATGGTGTTGCCATTTTGCATTTTCACGAGCAGTAAGTGACTCCCTGTTGCTCCACACCCTCAGAAGCATTTGATGTCGTCCGTGTTCTGAATTTTGACTACTCAAAAAGGTTGTTTAGTGGTATTCCATTGTTTCTTAAAAATACATATTCTTGATCTAAAATGACATATAACATCATTTCTTGTGCTTATTTTCAATCTTTGATGAGGCGTTGGTTCAAGTCTGTGGCCTACTTTTTTATCAGGTTGTTTCTTTTCTTGTGGAATTTTTTAAGTTCTTTGTGTTTTTGATAAAAGCTCTTTATTAGATGTGCAAATATTTTCTCCTAGTCTATGGCTTGTTTTCTCATTGTCATATCATTGTATTTATAGAAAATAAGTTTTAAATTTCTTTCTCTTTTTTTGGTACTGGGGATTGAACTCAGGTCCTTGCGCTAGCAAGGCAGGTGGCAGAACCACTGAGCTAAATCCTTGGCCCCTAAGTTTAAATTTTTAATGAATTCTATCTTATCAATTGTTTCCTTCATGGTTCATGCCTTTGGTATTGTATTTTAAAGGTCATTGACGTACTCAAAGTCATCTGAGTTTTTTCCTATATTATCTTAAAGGAGATTTATAATTTTGTGCATCACATTTTGTTGTGTGATTCATTTTAAGGTGTGCATGTGTGGAGTGTAAGTTCTGTGTATATAAAATCTTTTTTTAAAAATGTGGATGTTAAGTTTCTCCAGCATTGTGTAATGAAAAACTATCTTTTCTCTACTGTATTGTGTTTATTCCTTTGTCAAAGATCAGTTGACTGTTTTCTAGATCTATTTTAAGGCTCTCTATTCTGTTTCATTGACCCATTTGCCTTTTATTTCATCAATACCATACTGTCTTAATTACTGTGTATTTACAGTTAGTCTTACATCAGATACTGTCTGTCCTCCAACTTTGCTCTCCTTCAACATTGTGTTAACTATTCTTGGTATGTTGCTTCTCCATATCAACTTTAGAATCATTTTGTTAATATTCAAGAAATACCTTGCTGGGATTTGATTGAGATAGTATTGGATCGAGTTGGAAAAAACTGACATCTTGACAGTATTGAGTCTTCCCATCTATGAACATAAAATATCTCCCCATTTAGCAAGTTTTTCTTTAATCCAAAGTTTGTAGCTTTTCTCATATAGATCTTATACATATTTTGCCAGATTTATATCTAAAGTATTTCTTTTTTGGAAGGATACTAATCTAAATGGCATTGTGTTTTTAATTACAAATTCCATTGCTCATTACTGATATATGGGGAAAATGATTTGACTTTGTATATTAACCTTATATCCTCCAACCTTGCTATAGTCATTTATTAGTTCCAGAAATTTTGTTTGTTAATTCTTTTGGATATTCTTCATAAATAACTAGATCACTACAAACAAATGCAATTTTATTTCTTTCCTTATCAGGTTACATTTTATTTCCCCTTCTTGTCTTATAATTTTAGCTAGAACTTTCAGTGCAAGGATTGGTGGAGAGGGGACATCCTTACCTTACTCCTTATCTCCTTTAAAAAGCTTCTAGTTTCTTACTGTTAATAATGTTAGCTTTATGGGTTTTTTGTTGTAGGCGTGGTTTGTAGTTGTAGTTGTAGTTGTTGCTTTTTGGTGGTGCTGGGGATTGAATCTAGGCCCTTGA